TTACTGATTTATCGAAGATTTTGTATTTCTCAAAATTACCGTTATATGGGATGTGGGCGTGGTTATTGTCCGATTTTTTAAATTTTCTGCCATTTGGTATCCTATACCAAGGCCAATAACTGTGTGAAGTTTGGAAGAAATCGGTGTAGCGGTTGCCAAGATATACACATGTAACACTAAGTGGGCGTGGCTACGCCCATTTTTCAAAAATTTATAATATTCTTATTTTTCGTCTAAAAGTTATTGCAAATATCAATTTTGAGTGAATAATCTTCAGTAGTTACTAAAATATCGCAGTTTTTGTATTTCTGAAAATTACCGTTATATGGGAGGTAGGCGTGGTTATTGTCCGATTTTGCCCATTTTCAATACCATCCGTCCTACGCCCGAAAGAAGTACACGTACCAAGTTTCGTTAAGATATCTTAATTTTTACTCGAGTTATCGTGTGCACAGACGGACGGACAGACGGACGGACGGACAGACAGTCACCGCTTAATCGATTTCTCTTTTCATCCTGATCATTTATGTATACATTTGTAGTTCTATATCTATCTCGATTCGTTTTGCCTGTTACAAACAACCGTTATGTGAACAAAATTAATATACCCTTGTGCACAAGTGCGCTCGGGTATAAAAACGCCACGTAGAATGGGCGACTACGTGGATAGACGGGATGTGGTCGCGTTGAAGAGGAATCGAAGAGAGAGAGAGAGAGAAAGATGCAAGGACAAAAACAAAGGCTAGGGATAAAGATAACTGTACAGATAAAGATAAGGATGAAGATTATAATGGCGATAAAGATGAAGTTAAAGATGACGTTCATTGTTGAAGACGAATATAAAGATGTTGATGAAGATGTCATCTGAAGTTGAACATGGAGATGAAGTTGAAGTACGCGATGAAGATGAAAATGAAATTGAAGTTAAAGATGAAGATTAAGTTCGTGGGCATACTCGTCTTCGGCTTTTCCATCGAAATGGTATTCATATTCGTCTAAACCTTAATTTTGGTATTAGTACTTGGCTTAAGAGGGTGATGAATTTACTTTTAATGATATTTATTTGACGATTTTTAATTTGCTTCTCCCTATTTAAGGAAAACGCCAGTTTTATTTTTTAAGCAAAAACTAAAACACTAAAAACTACTTATTTTCCGAGCATAATTTAAAACTAAAAAAAATAAAGTTATTTTTCTAGAAAAAAAATTGGTAGGACGTTATTTAGAAATAAAATTTAATGAAGAGAGAAGTAAGATTTTCCATTGAACATAGGTTTAAGCTGATGCAGCATAAGCTGGCTGGAGAATGTGCTACCAAATTACGAAATCTTCCGATCATGTTTTTCTAATCTTTTCTAGAATCGAACCACTGTATATTTATCTCGGTATAGTTATCTCGCAAACGAAAGTAAATAGTCGAACGTTTAATATGGCATAGATAACAAATGTTTGTGCTGTCACTAGCAAATATATATATATATGAAATGAAAAGTACACATACATAAGTGCATATAGTCTACTGCAAGTCATAGAGCAGCAATATCCCTGTGGGGAAAATCTCTAGTTCTGTACATTTAGACCCAGTACTGGTTCGCATAAAATTCTCTTTTGCATGCAAACAACTGACGAATTTAATATGGCGATGTGCTAGGAAGTGTCAATTGCCCTCCCACGCTACATCCCTTTTTCGATAGTTCCGAAAGGACGAAAGAAAAATCATGATAATTTTTCAATCTGTTTTTTTCTTACGTGTGTGCGATTTTAAATTATTTTCAAAGAAATTTTTTTTCAATTTGAAATTAAATTTGTTTGAATGATTGTAAGAAATGTAGGTTTACATACCTTTGGCTGTAGCTGAGTTTGCAGAGGTGCTTGCTGTTATTGGTTAGATTCCAGACGGTCCCAAGATGTTAAAACGTTAACATAAATTTTTGTTTTGTATTACCTAGCTATGAAAAAGCATCTGCGAAGTGCGGAATGAAAGCGTATTTGAACGAAAAAGCTGCCAGCACAAATCTATGTAAAGTAAAACTGGTGGGAATCTAGTTACAATTGAACTCGTTCGTTTTTGCTAATAAAGATCTAGCACCGAACTAGAAATTTGATTCACTAGTTCGCCGTTTCCCTGCAGGGGTCATACTCGTATAAAGATATACACTGGACTACACACAAATGAACGTACCGACAGTTAATTGCACACAATAAAGAAATTTATTACTTAAATAACAAAACAGGTTTTGGGAGAGAGAATTTCAATGCAAATGTGACACTGATTAAAAATTTATTATAGTTGTGTGTAAAAATGGTCAAAAAAAGTTTGCACAACTTTTATAGAAATAAACAAAAAACGAAATAGAAATAAAATTTTATTAAAAACCCGGTTTTGTACTCTCATTTTATTATTATTCATTAGATAATCTATATATTAATACGAAAAACTTCATTTATGGTCCGATTTGCTTCAAATTTAAAATACATATTATTAACATCAAGAGAAATACACCTGCAAAAACTGGACCCGATAGGTGGCTCCAGACCCGAGAACATAATTACTCCACCAAAAAATATAAGAGACCTATCCTAGACTCCAAACTCCTCTGCAGAAGTCATGTTGAGGTGCCTACCTCCAAGACTAAAACACTTCTGATGGTGTGCAAACGTCTTGCGGGAAAACCCTGGAGTTGCCCTCCAAAAAATGGTATGACCTACAGTAAAATGTGGGGCAGTGGCTTGGGTGTCCAGGACCACTCTAGCAATGATAAGCCAGTCCCTCACCAAGATTCAACGTTTGGCAGGGCCCTACGGTTGCGCTGGAGGTAATTCTTGAATTCGAGCCACTGAATCTCACAGGTCAAAATGCAGTAAAGCAAACTCTCTTAACATCTTAACAAGAAATTAAAAATACAACACGAAATTTCAAATTGGGTAAAAAAAATTTGGTAGCAAAAACAAATTAGTTAGAAAAAATATGATATTTTTCTCAAATTAATGCAGAATCAAAAATGCAGTAATGAATTTTAAAATGGCTACCAAAATATCAATACCTAACAAAAACAAAGTAGTTAGAAAAAAACTGATATTTTTTTTTAATAGAGTTGCCTACTTGCAAAAGATGTATACAGCATCAAAAATGCAACAACAAAAATATAAAATGGGTACCAAAATTAAAAACAAGTTATGTCGTTAGAAAAAAAGCTGATATTTTCCTTAATAAAGTTGCCACCTGACAAAATATGTATAACAAATCCAAAATACAAAAAAAAAAAATAAAATGTGTACCAAAAAATTAGTATCAAAAACAGAGAAGTTAGAAAAAAGCCGATATTTTTCTGAAACGAAGTTGCCACCTTGCAAAAAAATTTATACAGAATCAAAAATATAACAAAAAATTTTAAAATGGTTACCAACAAATTAATATCAAAATCCGATTAGGTAGAAAAAAGCTAAATTTTTCCCCAAATTGTTGTCATCTCCCAAAAATTTATGCATAATAAAAAATTCAACAACAAATTTTTAAATGGTTGCCAAAAGTGGTATCAAATCAAAACTTGTTGAGTACGCTTTGGCTCAGAAATTTTTTGCGTGGAAGTCACCTATGTAAATAATTAAGAATTAGTAAGCAAATTAGAGAAAAATTTAAAGTATGTTTATATAAAAAAATACTCAAAAATGCCAAAACTAAGTAAATCAAAACAAGCTTTATTTTGTTTCAACACCTACTCTGCCGCGTTCGCTTGTTAACGTATCAAAAATTTACACTAACAATTAGCATGTAAATAATTTAAGTTTTCAATTTATGCGTAAGCATCTAAAGTAACAACAATTTTTGTTATTTTTAATTATTTTTGTAAGCAATCCCTAGGTGAGTGTTAATAATCTTTTATTTAAAAACTTTTGCCTTCAATTTTCCCAAAAAAAAAAACACAAAACCACTTAATCCACGCGCGCACATACATATATACAACTAAGTTACATAAATATAAGCATATACATACACATATTTTTAAAAGCCAAATCGACAACTACACAGTACAATTATATAATTTTGGTCGAATGTATCTATGTGTATACATGATTTTTAATAAATTTATATGCTTTATTTGTAAATTTATATTATGCACAAATATTTGAAATTAATTTTTATCTTTTGTAAATCTAATTTTACCATAAGACTTGGTGATCAGTACTTGCGTGTGTGTGTGTGTGTGTGTGTGTGTACGTTTGCATGTGTTTTTATAATTTATTTTGTATTTAAAATACCAAAAACCATGAATTTATTTAGCAAACACTACTCGTAATAAATGTGTAAACGAAAAAATTAAATTTTTTTTTTTTTAATTTGACTGCGCTCGCAGTAAAGCTATTTTTCTGTATTTTCTCTTATTTTTTGAAATTTTTTTGTGTTATTTTTTTTTTCATATAAATTATCTAAAACAAGCCGTGCTCCCCATAAAAGAGGAACCACCCCTAAGTTGTCAAAAAAACTTGCAATAAAAACTTACAGGTCCTCAATTCGATCAGTCAAAATAAATTTTAATTTCCTATATGCAATAATCAGTATTTGCTTTATTCATTTAAATATTCTTTTATATTTATTATTTTTGAAATTTTAATTGTCTATCAATTTTCATTTTCTAAACACTAGATCCGTATATATATATATATATATTTTTTTTTTTAATATACACTAATGCTATTTTTTGTGATCGTCACACTAAGTAATTTATGGTGTTGGTTGACAGTTAGGATCACTTGCCATTAAATGCTGAAATTTCTATTAAATATATTTTTTTCTTTAGTACAATAAATTACAATGCAATAAATCAGATTTCATTTTACATAAATATCTTTGGCTTATTTATTTATGTACATCTACATTTTTATGTAATAAATGGTCAGCAAATTTTTGTCTATTTGCTAAATTTTAAACTTTTTAATGCAAACTTTTTACAGCAAATTTAAAATATATTTTTTTTTCAAATCTTCACATTATATTTTAGTTTTAGAAATTTTGCCCTTTTTCGTTTCAATCACACAACTTTCTCTTTGGTTCTCTTACAAAATATTGGCTTATTTCGTGTTTTTAAAAATATTTGTTCTGATTAGTTGTTTTCTGATTCCATATGTAGCTTTTCCCAAAAAAAACCTTCTCCTAATTATTTTTATTTTCATTTGTTCTTTTTTTGGCATATTTTTTTTTTCTTGTTTGTTTTGGCAGCAAAGTTAGTCCTTCTGACGCTCTGACAGCACTTTTCCTTACCCCAGTTTCTTGCTTGATTCGTATTTTTTTTTTTATTCAAGATAGTAGCTGAAACTGCGCTTTCGCTTACTCCCAATTGTTTTCAATTTTAGTTACCCAGATTTGATCCAACGATCGATGGAATATTCAAGAGCCGAGATCCATCTAAAATGAAGCAGAAAAGATGACGATTAGGCAATGTTTTTTAATCAAAATAGAGAGCAGCTGAAAACTGGGTCTAAGCTATACAGTTGAGGAATTTGCAGTTCGGGAAAGGGAAGGACATCGTCTTCTTCTTGTATGAGATGCTCCAAAAGATGTGATAAAATTCAAACCTAAATGCTGCTATAGTGCCAAACTTTCTAGGACGTAGGCTTAGAAGGAATGTTATGAAAAACAGCGGTCCTTTAACCGTAGTTTGGTCTGAGAAGATAACTTCATAGTAAGATTTAAGCCGGCAGAACTTCTTACCTCTTCAGATATCAAACTATCGTCTATGGTGTCGTAAGACAACAACTATGTAGTTCCTGACAAGTCCGAGATTGCAAGTTGATACTGAGCTCTATACTGAAATCAATTCAGTATTAAAGTAGATAATACTATGTAGTTTGAGGATACCGCGATTGTGACAACAGATAACTTAAAAAGGATCCTATCAAAATTGGATTTCTGTGGATACGTGGAGGAAACCGAAGTCGCCTAGGAATTGGTTAAAAAGGGCTCAGCATTTTCCCTAGTGCGATCAGAATCATTTTGGACTTATTTGAGCCTTGTAGTCACCGAGTGGGTAAACTGAAAGCGCCGTTAATACTTCAGAGCTGTAGGAACGCTAAAACAGGCCAGAATTTTTAGTTATCCTTTCGGTAAAAACAACAACAATTTCTGCAACAGAGTTGATATCAGATTGCTCGCTGGTTATTTAACCGGTCATAACCGACTGCGTTGCCATATGGATTGGTATGTGCACAAAGAACGAAATCCGAATTTGTCGTTAGAACTACGAGTCACCGGAACACATGTAGTGTCACTTTACAGCGTTGGCCGGGCAAAGACTAATGCATTTTAATACGTCGAAGACATTTAGTTTCTATTAGGGAAGCGGACCAAAAAACTTGGGCGCTAAGTGCTAAGGATTTATTAATAGGGATATGAAATATCATCTAGGCCCAGCATTAGTTTCTCCGCTACGCCCGAAGCCTAAACTAAATAGAGCTCAGGCTATTTAATTTCTCAACCATTTCAAGTTTTGGTCATCGTGTTGGAGCACTGCCGCAAAAATATCCCAATGAGTAAAGTAATTCGATTCGACGAGTAGAGCAATATTGATAATGATTACAATGTAGAAACAAATTTGTAAATCGATTTCGTCAATTATAATTCGACCGATATTGGTAACCATGTCGTTAGAAGTACTGACAACTGAATCGACTCTCCGATAACTTCAACAATATCGATATCGATAACAATAAAAATCATCAGAACGAAATATACAGCGATAACGTTGATTATAAAACAAACAATAACATCGAAAAATATGTCGTATGCCGATATCGATAAAGATACCGATCTCGATAGCGACCATAAATCCGAAAATGATAATAATAATGATTAAAATAGTACTAAGAATAGTGATGAAAATATCGATATGTTATCGGAGTTTACCAAAATCATTGCCGATAATAATCGTCATAACAAAATATGTGCATTGGGGTGGTCCAAAAANAAAAAGGGGGGGGGGGGGGGGGGGGGGGGAGTAAAGTCGAAATTTTAACCTACTAAGGATTTTTTATACAGTTTTTTATTTTGAAATAAAAAATTGTTAGAGGTCGCTCAAAGTTTTACATATAAAATTCCGATTTTACTTTTTGGACCACCCTACTGTACATAAGTAAGGGGTAAAAGTATAAAGAGAATCAAATCGCTGGACGAATTTCGTCGGGTGGTATTCGCCGCAACGAAATGCGCATCTGTTGAATGACAAATAAAGAATACGAAAATTGAAAAGCAAAAAAATGTATCTGCAAATTTTTCCATTCTGCCTATTCCTGATAATTATCTGCTAGAAAAGTGAAGAAACGAAGGTATTTTACCACTGATAACTGATTTTTTGCCGGTCGGCAGCGGCAAAATTACAGATAAATCTATACTCGACGCAGTTCGCCAGACGAACTTCGTTGCCGCTTTGGTTCTGTGCAATCTCAAATACCACAGTTTGTTTTAATTTTGGCAGCGAACTTTCTTCCGATGAAGTTCGCTCAGCTATTTGATTCTGTTTACACTTTAATGACGCCGATAACGAACCAAGTTGTCTACTTTGACCAATTTGACCTGTCAATGTTAGCTATTGCGTCAGTTGTTTAAACTCTCTCTCTACACCTCAACACTGAAACTCACCTCTTTTTATCCATCTCCGATTCGGTGCAGAAGTAGTAGTGGCGCAATTTTGTTTCTGGTGGAATTATCTCAAATGAATTCTTTTTGCCTGAAGCATTGGTTGACATCGACGACACTTTGTAGCCATGCAGGCAAGCCATACCTAGTGTTGAAGAGAAAAAATAATTAAAGGCAAGAGTGTAAGAAGGGAAAACAAACAAAAATTTACGAAGTGATGTAAACACGAAAATACTTTTCTCGACAAAAGTACAAATATTATGTGTTAACAACGCCAACTAACGACGCACTCACCAAATGCCGTTTTACTATTCGCATCCTGATAGAAATACAAACAAGCATCCTTCAGCACACAGTAGCGCTTCGACCAGCCGCACCAGCGGGAGCCCAACTTCAGCAGGTAACCAAAGCAGTCCGGTCGTGTAATGCTGCACGGCGGTTGGTAGAGATTGTGTGCGCTGATTGTGTGTGCAGAGATGAAGAAAGTAAAGAAAGAAGTGAACAAAAAACATTGCCATTTTTTTTATTAAAAAAAAACTAAGATTAAGGTTTCTTGGTATTTTCCAAAGTAAAAAAAAGGGACAAAAGCAATTGCTTAGCTACCAATTATCCAGCCAGGGTGTGCCCTGTGTGGCCGTTTGCTTGAGCAACTTAATCCAACGGCTGGATAATTCCTCTGAATCGGCAGCCACATACAACGGTATGCCTTCGCCGGAATCGATTTTGAAGGCGTACGGCTTGCCGACCTCCGGTGGACAGTGATCAACTGTATGCTTGGCCATAATCATAGCGCCAACGGGTTGTGAGTCCTGCGCCAATCGAATGGACAAAAAAAAAAAAGTAAAACAAATTCGTACAATAATTCTGTTCTGTTCCATCAAACACTTATTTACCTCCTCCGTTTTGTAGTAGTAGAGGCAATTGTCCGGTCGCAACGAGAACCAACGACGTACCCATTTCTTTGTATTTGGCGCACCTTTCGCCTGACCGCTCTGCCGCCACAAATAGCCGCTGTAGATCGGCTGGCATGGTGGCTCTTGCTGCTCGTGCATGAGTACGCCAATGGTGCGCGCCACCTCTAACTCGAGTATCTCGCAGCCATCGTGCGCTATCTTCACCACTTCGGTGTGATGTTTGTCCAACACTTCGACGCCATTTACGGAGATAATTATGTCACCCACTTCAAGCCCTGAACTTTCGGCGGGTGTTTCTGGTTCAATGGCAGCGACGACGACCGGCTTGGAGCCATGTATGCGGAAGCCAAATTCACCGGATTCACTCTTGACCACAATTGTTTTGTCGACGCCTGAATGGAAGTAAAAGAGAGAGAGACAGAGAGAGAAAAGTAGGAAAACGAAATAAAAGTATCGTTAGTTTTCGGTACTTTAGTGCTGGGTTGTTTGATTATGGTAATGTGTGCATGTAAGGCTTATGATTCCTTACTAAGGAATCCTTAGTTTAAAAAGTACCCCTTTTGCCGCCTGAAGTCTTGGCAATCACATGCGACTCGCGTGCCCAGACCAAGAGCATCAGTTTCAGCACATCCTCCAGTTTGCGTCGCAGCGAATCCGTTGCAGAATTCGAGGTGATTAGTTCTGCAGGAAAAAGTTACGCTTCACAAATCAAGGAATAAACTAAAAGTTCTAAATGAAATTTCGGCCTACCGATCATTGTGCTGAATTTTTCTTGTTTTTTGGCTACTTTTTTACTTGTTTTAAAAATTATGTTGAATGTTGAAAAATTTTTATTGAGCTTGCGGCGGTTTTTTAATAAAAAATGTTATCGGAAAACAAAAACAATTAAAATTTTTGTTTAATAAAAATTTTTATACGAAACTTTTTTTAAGCTCTTTTTGAATTTTAATCTCGGAATCTCACTTTAATTATTATTTTTCCTTGATAATATAAAATAATAAATATTGTTACAAAAACTTTATTTTAATAAATTTTTTCTGTTCAAAATTTAGTTATTCATTTTTTAAATAATATATTTTTTTACTCGAAATTTTTATTCAACTTTTGGTTTATAAGAAATTGTATAAATTAATTTTTTTTATTTATACACATTGTTGATTTTGATTATGCTCTGCTTTGTTTTAGAACTTTTTTGGGAATAAAATTTGTATTCGAATTTATTTAAACTTTTTATGTAACTCTTATAGGGAAGCAATTTTTATAATAAACATTTAAAAATAAATTATGAGTATTTTTTTACATAACTAAAACTTTCTCTTGGAAAGCAATGGATTCTGCGCGCTGGGCTTGGGCCCCACAAACTAAAGTCAATGACGAGGGATGCGTCTGAAAAATTTTTCACTCCCATCAGTGAACGAATTTTCAAACCCCGCATTGAGCCTAATTTGTAAGCGCGCCCCTACGGAGCAGACGAACGATGAGTCCTAAGAGAAATCCTATAAGCTCCTTAAAGTAATAGTGTGGAAAATGACCTTTTTTTGTAACAAAATCAAATATGTGCATTAGGGCGCAGTAATTTAATTTCGAAAAAATTTTTGCCATATTCAAATTCTACGATTAATTCTAAGCAAAAATGGCGAACAAACTATATACCAAAAATTATATAAAAAAAAATTTAAAAGAAAAATCAGTGTATTATAAATTTTTCCGAACGAAATTAATTTTTCATTTACAAAATTTTGTGTTTTTTTTCATATTTAAGAGACTACTTCACAAAACCGAGGACATTTTTTTTTGGAAACTGAAAAATAAATTTCCACCAAGCAAGTCGCAAAATACTGCTTTTTCTTGTGAAAATTAGGCGGGTCCAACGTCAATTTTGGTATATTTGAATTTGAATTTGCTATAAACTTTCTTCGAAAATTTGGCTCCGAACAAACTGCTCCGCCCTAATGTACGTGCAATCTCGTTTCAAATGTATTCCTTAATCTTTCCTAGATTATATGGAGTAAAATGTACCAGTAACAATGGACTGGCCCCTATCTAATTTCTCTTTAAAAACTCGTTATAGATTTTTTCTTTTTTCTCTTAGTTTTAGTTTATATCTACAGTTTTATAAAAAAAAAAATAGATGTAAAATCTTTTACGTTTTTTGTAATATTTATTTTTATTCAAATTATTATAAAATTATTAAGAATTTTGGTGGAAACTTTCTATTTATCAATAGTGTTTAATTAAGGCCACTAAAATTAAATAAGAAAAAATTTCGTTCACTTTCGTTCGAGTTAAGCTTTATTTAATAAAGTGATTTTTTATTGCTGCAATATTCTAAGTTTCAGTTATATAAATTTTTATTTTATAGCAATTTTTTAAATATATTTTATTTGTTTATTATAATTTTTAAAAGTTTCTTATTGACTTTTTTCTAGTTTTTTTTTTTTTATTTCATAATGTTGCAATTAAAAACTTTTAGATGTTGCTTTTTAATTTTTTTTTTTAATTTAATTTTGTTTATCACAAAATGTGCCGTGATTTTGATTGATTTTATTCTAAATTTTTTATCTACACAATTCGCTGCGCTCGATTTTATTGCACGAAATAAGTTCACATTCTGCCTTTACTTTTGCACGCACGCCTTTGTCAATGAACCACTGACCGCTCGACCATTCGACCGATTGTTGCGTATAAAAACACTCGCACGCTGGGGACAACGTAATGAGCGCGCACCTCGCTATCTAACGCGCGCGCTAATTAATCTAATCGACTATTTTTAAAACATGCGTACCATAAGTGTGAAGCCCTAAAATACAATAGACATTAGCAACAACTAAACCAATTACATTTGTCTACAATAAAAAAATAAATAAACGCAAGCAAATAAAAAAAAAAAATCGCACGCACATTCGATCAACACGTTGTTGCCAAAAGCAGCCGCTGCCCGGTACTAATGAAGTACGCACATGTATCCATTCGAACACTTTTTACTTTCGAATTTCAAAACCCTAGTCACGCAATTTTCATACTCCTCAGAGTTGTTTTTGTTTGAGCGAATATTTGAAAATTTGCTTTTGGGTCTTGCTGATGGCTGACTCTTGGTTGGCGCTCGCTCACGTTCACTCAGTGTTTCGTAGGCACGTCGTTCCAAAATTAGATATTCTTTTGCAGTTAGTCCATTTATACATATTTATTTTTTATGTACAAGTCTATAGACTATGTAAGTGTGTTCTAGTTGATTGCTGCAATGTTGCAAAACATCAAAGCGTAGTACCTACTCATCAATGTCGAAACAATAAAAGTCGGAAACATTTATATACAAAAAAAATAAAATAAAATAAAAAATTCGAAGCGAATGCTTCAGCTACGAGTAACAATTGTAGTATACCAGATTTTTGGATTATATACAAATTAATTAAAAATAGAAAAAAATAATCAGATCTTTCAACTGAACAACAAACAAATATTCTCTAATTTGATCGGTGCTTGTTTCTCTACAATCTTTTCGAAATACCCCCTTCTTTTGAATTAAGTAGAGACACCCACTTGATTTATTTATTTATTGGAAGTCGGTTCCAAACAAGGAGGAGGTTATCAGCTCGTCGGAATATTTTTTATTTTTTTTTATATTTGTTACCGCATAACTTTGGACCACGTCAACCGAGTTCGATAACTATTTATTTTGTGTCAAATTCCTTTAAGGCTTTACTCAGTTCTTAGGAAATTTGCTACGCTTTCTGCATTCTTGTGGTTCAATGTTACTACAATTTTAGAGATTAAAGTTCTGTGAGTTAAAAACTTGAAAGGAGAAAATTTCCAAAGATTCAAAGTAGAAATTTTTCATATAATGAAACTAGTTCATAGTTTTTCCTTTTACTTGTAAAATAAACATTTCTAAAATAAATGTATTTTTTTTATTATTTTTTGGTTTTATTTTTCGCTTTTTAGTGCCTTCTTTTGCATTTTTTGCGATTTCGAGTGCCTTTTCCTGCCTATTTCCCTATTTTACTTGGTCTTTTTTTCTGGTTTTTAGGTCCTCAAAATCTATTCCCTGCTTATTAATGCTCAAAGTCAAAAAATTATGGTTAAACGGTTAATGGCACAACTCGAGGTTTCATGGATTAAAATACCGATGGACACTGACATTAGCATTGGAAATGAAGATGAGCAAGCAGGGCCGGATTTAAGTAAAGGCTACATAGGCGCCCGCACCAAAAAATCTCTAAGAAATCTAACCCGAAGTGGGAAGTCTTGTTAAAACCCTGTTGCCTTAGAAATAGAAGTAAACTAAATGTCATACATATGGTCCCGAAATGATTCGCGAAATGGTCCAAAAGTAGCCCAAAAAATTTTAATTCATACCGGGGTTTTTTACTCATACCGAGAGATAAGATCTTTAAACATCAAAAACAAGCTTATGTAAATCTACCTTTGTCTTTCAAAATTCAAAAAAATTTTAGGTTTGTGAATACACAAATATCTTCATAAACATTTTTTTATAATGACGCGTTATTCGAATGCATCGAGTTATGATTTTCGGCATTTGATTGCAGGACATTCCAAGGGGTACTGTGCACACATTTTTAATACACAAACAAAAAAAAACATTTGTTTAAACTTACGAAAATTATTATTCCGCTGGCGGTGATACATTTCCAAAGTGCAACGCCGTTGGACCAGACGATGAAGTATGACCTGGTATTTGGAGTGAAAACTGCGCTCGGACTCAGTTGACGGGCGGCGATCGCGATGACGATCTGCGGAAGGCGAAATAAAACAAAAGAAACGCTTTAGAATTTCGCAAACACTTCGAAAATCCACCAGCAGTTTATACCAAAACTCTGATGATTCAGCTGCGTCCAAACATCTGCGTCGGTGAGACGCGAATAACGCGCCGGATCGTAGTTACCGCGATAGATGATTTGCTGGCTCTGCTCAACCGCGGCGTCGGGCAGCACACATGGACTGGAGCCCGCTGGACGTAAACTCTGCGGACTACGCGAGTGCACGCTTTCACGACTGCGTTCCTCACTCTGAAATGTGAGAATTTTGATTGCATCTTGAAGTATTCATATATACGTCAAGCGATTACCTTTGCGCGTATATTCTCCTGGCGCGTCTTGTAGTGACGCCCCCGTTCGCCGCCATGATAGCGTTCTTCCGAACGAAAACGTTTATCCATTTTCTTGTAGAGCCGCTGCGTAGTTTTCGCGGTGACCGGAGAGTCTGCAAAGTCTGAAGGAGGCTTAACAATATCCTGCTCATGTTCGTTCTCAATAAATGGCAGCGATTCGACTGAGTCGCCAGCTAAAGCGCTTATAACCGTCGTCTGACCCTCCGTACCTTTGCCGCAGTGCAAACAATGCGCATGCGGTTCCTGTGTTGGACCATCTGCCTCGCTGTAGAACACCGAATCGGAACCAGGCGACACAGAACGCAATGACTCAATAGACTTTGCCTTCAATTGACACACTTCCGAGGACGATTTGGTAGTTTTCGTTGTTGTTGTGGGCGATGTAATCATTTTACTCGTCTTACACTCGACAACTGGCAACTCCTCGTGTTCTTCCTTTTTAAGCTTAACGCTATAGTCTAGCAACTTTTCGGTGCTACCCGCTGACGGTGGTATGCCGTACAAATTGACTAGATTCTTTTGTCGTTTTGGCGTGCTATCATCACGCGAACTTCGCCGCAATTGACGACGTATCTTCGGACGGAAACGTTTAATGCGATTCGGACTTGCCGCGTCGACAATGGCGTGCGGTGTACCGCTGGTTGTGGATTGCCTTTCGGACGGCAGCTTATCCTTTGTGCCAGCTGTAGGTGTGGTAAGCGCGCCGGCTGCTGCAGCCGCCGGTTTCTTGATTGGGCTGGTAAGCGCGCGTAAATTCTCTTTTTCAATGTCCAGTTTCATAGTGGTCTTGCGGCGCTTGCGCTCCTCATCGAGTCGATGACGACGTGACTTTATCACATGTTCGTCGTCGTGCGGACTCTCGTAGTAGCCGGAGGACGAGTAGCGCACTTCACTGCGTTCATCCTCCGATATGGACTCGGGTTTGATGCGTGGCTTCTCGCCACTTATGGTGGCTGTTGGCTCATTCGATGAGGGTTGCAGAATACCTGTGGTTGCTGGCGACTTGCTGAGCGATTTCTCAGCTAATTCTAGACGCTTCTCAGCATCCTTTGCCGAGGGTGAAGGTGTCGCGAGCCCAGCAACATTGTAGCTGCCCGAGGAAGTGCTGCTGATGGAATGCGAAGGTGAACGCTTAGTCAGCTCAGCCATGGGTAGAGGAGACTTCAGCTGCATGTCACGTTCGACCTTGTGCGGCTTAGTGGGCTTTTCATCGTGCTGTAGCATATCCTCTGACGTTATTTCGCCGCGTGTAGAGTAGAGCGATGAGGCACTCTCGAAGGATGAACCTTGGGTGCGGTCGATTTGTGAACTTTGTGTAGAAACTGTAGGAGAAAAGAGAGGGGAAAAAGGCAAAAAATATATGAAGATTAAAATCGCCGACAACTGCGCTAGACTACTCTATAAGCGAGCGTTGAACTAAGCTGAGCTAAGAAGCATTACACAGTCATATGAGTGTAGGTATGTATTTTATTTTTCTTTTTGTACAGAAGCGTTCATCAAGCAACAACAACAAATACCATATGAAAATACTTTAATAGCATACACGTTATCAGCTAAGGACGGACACAAAAACACACACAAAAATATGTACTAGTATGATGCAGAAGGAAGCGTGAGTGTTGAAAGGAAAGGAGAATACAGCTAAAAAGCCTAACCGCTGGCTTGTGTGTTTATGTACGTGTGAGTGTGTGCAACAAGAACTGTGTGTGTGTGTCGCTAAGTGCATACATATATAAGCGAGTACAAATGAGTCAGAGGATTATGTGTGGATTGGTTATTTATGTAATCTTTTAATGATGGATTGACAGCCACTGAAAGATGGATGGATAATGACTAGGTAGCTAGTTTTTCGGATGCTGATTTGTTGATGTAGGATGCATGGTTGGCTGTTGCTAGCGGATGGCTAAGGTTACTGAGGTGTGTTGGGTTTTTGACACGACAACTTGTTAGATGCTTAGCTGTTTTTGTTTTTTTGTTTTTTTTTTTTGTGGAGCTTAAGCAGCAAGGCACACTAATCTATTGATTGACTTTTTTTTTTTTTGGTGTTCTATGTATTTTTGTAGACACTTTGCGCCATCAAACCTGGTACTTGTGTTGTCGATGATGAGCTTGTTGTTGTTGTTGTTGGTGGTGTCTTAATACCTGGCGTGCGCTTCGATGTATCGGTGCAAGTGGCATATTCATCTGTATTTGTGCTGCACTCTGAGACATCGGTGTGATTATTTGTAAATTTGACGTCTGCGTTTGTGTTGGCACGCGTCGGCTGCACATCAGAGCTGCGTCGCCCATCGCGTGCTGCTGAGGGTGGTAGTTCCTGTACGATGCGTTTGCTAGTGCCAGGCGATTTCTTAGGTGAAATTTCCTTGGTCACAGACAAACTCGGCGTGACCGCAATGGAAGGTGTTGGGAGCTTCGATGGCACCGTGAGTGTGGTCGTCTTGGGCTCGCGACTTGCCTGTGGCTGCTGTGTGATGGGTGCGATGCCCTTAACTGGCTTGGGCATGGTTGGCAGTGTGCTCACCGCGATGCCGTAAGTGGGACTCTATAATTGAAAGGAATTTTTAAAACAAAACGGGATGCACCTGGGCTAAACGATGGGAGTGAAACTTCTCTCGATTTTTTTGTAGTGCGTTTTTTGTTGGACAAAATTTGCAAATATTAATCATGATGTTTTCCCCTTTTTTTTTTCTTTTCTTTATTTATTTTCTATATTCTTATCTTCGTATTTATTTTTATGTTCATCTTAATCTTTATTTTTAACTTTATCTGTCTTTATCTTTATGTTTTTGTTTACGGTTATCTTCATTTTCATCTTCATCTTCATCTTTAT